GATGGGTGGAATGGAAACCCTGAATGTCATGTGGGCCTAAACCTAGTAATTTCATGCTTGTTAAATTCTAACAATTGATTGAGAAATGCTATGCTTTTTGATTTGATGTATTGTGATAAAAGTCGGTGTGTAGTGAATGGCGAACTACGAATGGCTTGATCCCTATTTGGGGTACGTAGGCAGTCTAATGAGGAAGTTAGATGCATCCATAAAATGTACGAAAAATGCTATGAAATTTGAATCTTGATCTATGCTTTGTATATATCCCTGAGGCGAAGTATGTTAGATATACGGGTATTTGGTGACGTCACATGTCGATCCTAGACGTATTTCGGGATTGGAGCGTGACATTAAGGGCCTGGGTTGGCTTCTCGCTGAGGAAGGAGGCTGGAGCCTCCCGTGCTTCGGTCGATGCTAAAACACAGTCCTAGACTCCGATCTAGATACCAAAATGAAGGTAGAGACGAGAGGGAGAGGTTTGTTACCTTTAATTTGCCGTGAAAAGGCTAGAGGTGGCTGGGAAAGCCACGATTTCCTTTCCAGAATCTGGGCTTCTTTCCCGAGCCATTTCTCAGTCCGAAAACATTCCAAAATACACAACCAAGCTCAAAAACGGCTATGAAGGCGAAAAGCATACGATCAAGTGTACCTCTGGGGTTTACCTTAGTTGGTAAATGTCAAACTCACTGGAGGGGACATTTGGTAGTCTCTATGCTTCACAAAGAATGGAGAGGGAGATGAAACTCATCCCTGGTGGTGGGTGGTGGTGTTGCCGTCGTTGATATGTAAGGATGTGGGTGTGTAAGTCATCGTCAGGAAAGGGGAACACCGAGAGAGAGATAGAGAGAGAGTTGTTGAGAGGGAGAGATAAGGGAGAGTGAGGGAGAAGAGAAAACTGTGAGAGAGGAGAGAGGTGAGAGACCGAGGAACACAAAAACAAGGTGGGCCCCACGTGGCTCACCAACCAATCCCATAAAACATAAAATAAGAAATAAATATCTCTCTCGAGTGTGAGGTTACTATTTTACCCTTTCGACTCACTAAAATCAGGACATGTTGTTACAATGCGCTCCCCGGTGTTTCCCTCCCTCTTTGAACAATGACATAGAACATAAAAAAGGTTTTGATTTTGGGTGTAATTAGATTTTAATTTTAAGGGTGTTTGAAATTAGAGATCAAATTTTGGCTATTAATAATAAAAATTCTATTATATACTTCCACTACGATGTTAGTGAAGTTACATACAAAACATTAAAAGGCAAAATTCACTCACTATATTCAAATGTATGTCGACACAAGAATAGAAACAATCTTTCAAATTTTTTTAAAATTGAAAATAAAAATGAATTAGTTGTGAAGGAATATTATCCCCTTCAAATTAAGTTAAATATCTTGATCAATACATTAAGGATGCTTAGTTTTCAAGTGTGTAGAAAGAATGAGTGAATTACAAATATCACGAGTGCATGTTTAAAAATCATGCTTAATTCAGCGTGTAGTAGATGTTCGACCTCAACGCGGATTAATTAAGCACGATCCATATATAGCCATAAGGATCGCCCAACACGGATTAACCAAGCACAATCTATATATAGTATGGTCCCCCAATGCGGATTAACCAAGCAGGACCACTAGTGACCCCCCCCCCCCCAATGTGGATTAACCAAGCAGAGTCACTCCTACATAACTGTTAGGCAGTGATCACCCAACGCGGATTAACCAAACATGATCACCCCTCAGTAGCCATAAGGATCGCCCAACGCGGATTAACCAAGCAGGACCACTAGTGACCCCCCAATGCGGATTAACCAAGCAGGGTCATAGTCCCCTACTAGCCCTCAGTTTACATAACATTTCATTATGCAATTCAAATCACTTTTCCACAAATATTACCAATCCATGAATCAAATCACATTTAATAAAAATAGATCGATGGCCAATTATAAAAGAATCATATTTTAATAGAAAACACATTTACAAAACCATGTCATATCCATAAAGGATATTAATATAAAGAATCGAGTAATCACCATATCACATATATTAAAGTCACTCACCGAGACAAGTCTGCAAAGCTTCATTGAGTCTCTAGTAATACTAAATTTAGTAATTTAAATGGTTCAAGACCTGTTGACCAAAATTCAACGATGGGGTCTACACCCTAGCAATTTAATCCGGAAGATCCGCACATCATAATCTAGATCCATAACTTCCTAAGGTCCACATTATGCTTAAAGAACAACATACTAAAATCTCAACGCGATCCGACGGTCGAATCTCCGCCAATTGCTAGAATTAGGTGGCGGTTAACAATTAATGTTACTAACTTAGAAATCTAATTCAGGAAGATCCGTGCTTCGAATTCCCTATCTGTCAGTTCCAGCTATCCTCAAATATTACGTTCTATAACGCATTAAAGTTTGGTGATGGTCCAACGGTCGGATTGTCGATTCAAATTTTGATCGAGTGATGTATCATAATGAAACTAAATTCAAACAATCAAACCACTTCATATCAATTATGAATTCAGGGCATCTAATTGGACTTAGAAAGACATCGTCGGCCCACTGGCCACACGCCGACACATGTGGCGGTCAGCCGTCCCGACTCGCCGGAAAATTCAACTATTTCCAAAAATTACCAAATTTTACAGGAAAATATATCTCAATGAGTGAAGCAAGTTTCATACTTGTGGACAAGTCCAATTTGGCTAGGAAACACCTTAAATTGCCCACGAACCGCCGGAACCCTAGAATTGGGTGTTCTTGATTCGATGCCAAAATGAACTCCAACGCCCCAACCAATGCATGGACTTTGTTCCTGAGGTTGAGGGAAGTCTTTTGGTGGTGGTGGTCGACGGTAAACATTGTCGGATTCAACGGAAAAATGAGAAAACCGCCGGAAAACTGTGGAGTTGTGGATTCGATTTGTAAAATTGGGTTAGAAATTGAGAAATATAATTCCACAAAAATGTTGGGTTCGCCGAGAGCTTTCCATGGACACCAAAATCACCTTAATCGGACGTCGGACCGAAAAGATACAACCGGGTCAGGGTTTGAAATCGGGTCAAGGTTGCTTGGGTGTTTCCTCCCCTCTCTCCTTTCCCTTCTTCTTTTTCCTGATTGGTTCCGTTAACTCACATAAATCTTATTGGCCTCTTTTCCACAAGGTGGGAGTTTGAAATAAATTTAAAATCTATAGTTTTGTAACACAATTTCAAATGTCTGTATCTATACCGTATAATCCGGACTCGCAAACGGTTTTCGCCTATGCACTCGTAGTTTTAGGATCTATTCGAATATGTTACTTGTGACCTCGAAAGGTCAACGAATTTTAGATAATTAATTTCCAAACTACAAACTTCATAATTAATTTAATTAAAATCTAAATCCAAATAAATTAATATTATTTCTCGAAAAATAATATAAAATCTCAATAATACAAATACATAGATTATTACAATGAAATTTAGGAACGTGTGCATGCAAATTGCAAATACCTTTGTACGGCAACTACCATATGATGAAACCAATCCAAACCTTAATCTTTACCACTCCTTTGTTTCGACACTCCAGCGGGTGATATCAATGTTAAACGTGGCTGTTCCGGCAACCCACACCGATTTTACTTGAAAAATATTTGACCTCACTACTTCCGGCCACTTGTGTCGTTCATTGGAAATAAAGCAAAATATTTAAGTCGGATCTCTATCTCATAGTCAAGAACACAAGTCCTAAGTAAAAGTCTACACATCCAATGACAGGAAGATACATCCATCCAATGTGATAGAGGAAAAAGAACGGAAATTGCTCAAGTCATGCTTCAGCATACGTCTTTTCTACACAAAGACTTTGAACAAACCCTGGGCCCCGGCTCTCTCTTTTTACCTTTTCTTATTTGTGTTTGCACACCATTGTCACCCCTATCATACGTCCACCATGCATGGACTTCACCATGCGGACTTATAAATAAATTGCATTATTCTTCATATTGTTAATTGGTTCTACGGTGTAACATCAATATTTTTCAGAGACTCGAAATTGTGGCTATTCTATCAGCATAAAATGTGGCTATTCTGGCAGCATATTCGATCAGTATGATAAACTAAATTGGAGTGGATATATTTACTCCAACATTTTCTCCTTTAGAAGTACACCAAGCAGCTGGTATCACATCCATATTCAAAGAACCACCTTCAATGTTGTTGTCCTCCGTCCGCCAAGTACCATACACCACAGCGCAACATTCTCGCCCCGATTTACTTACAGAGGAGGAAGCTGCTCATAGAGGTGATGCTAATAACAATTTGGTTAGCACAAAAGTCGTTCTTGTCTACATCAAAAGCCAGCGCTGATCTGAAGAAGTTTCTGATGATATGACAATAAACACATTAGTAAATATATAACAAGAGAGATTCCAGTCGAAGTTCCCACAATATTTGGATTAAAAAAATAAAAACGAGAATATTCGAGGTAAAGTAGGAATGACCCTAATAATTGAAGATAAGATAAAAGAAAATCAATTATGGTGGTTTGGATACATGAACCAAAGACCTATATATGCGCCGATTAGAAGATGCAACTTTAAGACAGAGGGTCATTGCAAAAGAGGCAGATGAAGATTTAGGAAGACTGGAAAAGAGACCGTAAGAAAATATATGGAGTACTTGGAGCTAACTGAAGACTTGGCACATAACTGAGCACAATGACGTTCTAGGATTCATACAATTAATCCCCCTTAATGGAATAAAGCTTGTTGTTGTTGTATTACTGTTTTCTAATTAACTAAATGATCGTTCAAAGTTTCAAAGTGGGCATACTATTAGGAAAAGCAATTTTCTAACAGTCAATTATTGTATAGTTTATCCCAATTCCCACGCCACTATCGTTGCCAATTCATTGTAGTTTACTAAAGACTTCTGCAAAACGTTATACATGCTAAGGACTAATTAGTTCAAGTCCATGCTAGAAAGGACTACTCATTGTCTTTGATGTGAACGTCAGAAAGGAACGGGAAATAACCGAAAACGATGATATAGAAACAAGTGTACCTCATTCACATAAGTATGAGGAAAATAGAGAAACAAGAATCCAAGCAGCTTTCCGGCATCCTTCTTCATCAACATGAGTTTAATCTCCTCTCCCTAATTTCTATATCTTATTATATATGCATACATACATATACATATATATAATGAAGAACTTCCCAAGCAGCAAATACTGTCTGACGCTTCTTTATCTATCATCCTTGTTTCTAAACATGATGGTAACCCTACCCACGCTCGTGGAAGTAGACGACTCACCATATATCTACACCCCAACTGATTTCATCACCGTTGCATGTGGTCACACCGGTCCCCAATTGAAAATGGATGAAGAGCGATATTGGACTGGGGATATCGACTCACAATATTCCACTTTGGAAGAAGAGCACGCTAGTGCATCCGTCATCAGCGAAGCACCTCCGTCTACGGCATCATCATCATCATCTGTTGGCCACGCTGTTGGACAAGTGCCTTACAATGCGGCACGGCTTTCTCACTCTGAATTTACTTACAGGTTCTCCCTCAGTACAGCCGGCCAAAAGTTCATCCGCTTGTATTTCTACCCAACATCGTATCCCAACTTCGACCGCTCCAAAGCGCTCTTCTCTGTCAAAGCCGGTGGCTTTACCTTGCTCCAGGACTTCAACGCTTCTGTCACTGCAGACGCTTATGGGGTGGAGACGCTGTACAGAGAGTTCTGTTTGAACATTGGCGAAGAACAGAGTCTAAACATCACATTTAGTCCAAGCAGAGAAGCAAGCCCAGACGCGTATGCGTTCGTCAATGGAATTGAGATTGTATCCATGCCAAGCAATCTTTACTACACTCCTGCCAAAAGCGCCAATGGTGTCAATTATGTGGGCACCGGAAGAAAGAAGGTCCAAATGGAAAACAACACAGCTCTGGAGATGGTTTACCGAATACACATCGGTGGAGACCCATTCTTACCCAAATCAGACACTGGCATGTACCGGAACTGGGAAGGTTTGGCAGATGAGCAAACTTACTTAGGGCCTTTAAGTTTAAGTTCGAGCACTCCGCAAAAAAAATACTTTTGTTATGCCCAACTTTTCCATAATACCAGAGTATACTGCGCCGAGAAAACTTTATCAAACGAGCCGGTCAATGACTAGTTCAGTTACATCATATAATCTCACTTGGGAATTCCCTGTACATTCAAAATTCTCTTACCTTGTTAGGCTGCACTTTTGTTATCTTCCACTACAAGAATACATTTCTGGACGTGTTCGTCAAGTTTACATAGCCAATCAGATAGCTGAAGAAGTAGCCATTATATTCGAAGGGTATCCGACCCCAGAATACAGAGACTACATTGTGTCAATCGGCCCCAGAAGTACGAAGAAGAAAACTGTAAGAACCCGTCCCGGGATTTACGTAAGAAAATGGGTATTTTTGTATTTTCACTAAGTTTGGGGATACCTTCCTTTTTAAAATTGTTTTTGAACCTTATTTGGTGAGCCCAAGGGGCCCACCCCCTGTTTTGTCCCCCCTGCCGTGTCCCTCCTCTCTTCTTTCTTTCTCCTTTTTTCTTCTTTTCCTTTCTATTGTTTTGTTTTGTCTGCACCTTCTCCCTTCCTTCGAAACTCCCCCATTTCTCTCTTCTTCTTCCCCGTGAAACACACACACACACACACCCATGCCCACACCTATAACTCTTTTCAAACCCCGTGGTTGTGTTTTGGACGTCAAACCATGAAGAAACCACCTCGGAGACTCTTTCCCAGTTTTCCGGCGAGCACCGTCCCTTTCGAGGCGATTTCCGGCCAAAACACGGCGAGTTGGCCGGCGTGCAAGGTATCAATCTCTTCGTCTCGCTGAGTACTACAACTTTCCTTTTTGTTTCACCTAATTTCATTGAGTATTGAAGAAGTTATGCTCATTTGAATCTTACCCAGTTTCCGGCGGACACCCGTGGCTTCCAAGCTGTTTTCCGGCCAAATCCGGCCACAATGACGGGAACCAAGGGTATATTTCGATTCCTTACCTTGGGGGCTTCAATTTGGTATATTGAATGACATGTTTTGGTTGAGTTTTGAGCTCCAACGGAGCTTGGGAATTCTTCGGCCGAAATCCGGCCTTCCCCCTCCTTGGAATCCGGCGACCACCAAACCCAAAGGCCTTAGGGCCTTGGTTGCAGCCCAAACCCATTTTCTGTTAGCCCAAAACCCACACCCATTTTCCTTTTTACCCAAACCCAACCCACTTAAAAACCTAACCCAAAACCCTAACCCAAAACCCTAAAACCTAAACCCAATTACCCTAACCCAAACCCTTAGGCCCAAACCCGGATCCATTACCCAAACCCTAAACCGGGTTGACCCGGGTTGACTCTGACGGGTTGACCCACGACCCGTTGACCCTGACCCTGACCCGGACCTGACCCGTTGACTGTTGACCCGGTCAACGGTCATCGTTGACTTTGACCGGTCAACGGTCATCGTTGACTTTGACCGGTCAACGTTGACTTTGACCTCCGGGTTGACTTTTTTGGTTTTCGTGCGGGACCCCTCCTAGGCTAATTTCGACGTCCTGAACCCGTTTCCGATGTCCGTTTTCCCAAATTCAATCGTTTGAGTAGAGTTTGACTAAATGTACCATTTATGTGATTAGGGGCGATTATCGATGGCGTTTCCTTCTTCGCTAGATGACGTGGCTTTTCGACGGCGAAGTACTGTGAGTGGACCCCTTCTAAAAATGCATGTTTTGATGGTAGAATTGCATACACAGAAAAGCATGACTTTACGATTATGTTTTATGAAACGTTTTGAGATAATATGCTTACTAAGGCTAGTTTGAATTATTACTATTTTTCCTATAACCCATGTTCTTATAGAATATCTGATGGATGACGATATGATATTTAGAACATGTTTAGAACACTTCTTTATAGTATAGATGATGGATGACTTTATACTATGAAGTTGATTTTCAATATATGTATGTTCACTGGTTTTATACCTACCTAGTGGTCCTTTCCGCTACGGGACGTAGGGATAGATCCGGTCCGTCCCGGGCGACGGTTTGGTGTTGGCATAGGGCCTGGAGTGTGTTTTCCTCTGACTGTCCGCTCAGAGACGGGGAGCCGGCAAGGGGCCTGAAGTGTATTTTCCTCTGACTGTGTGCTCAGAGACGGGGAGCCGGCATGGGGCCTGAAGTGTTATATCGGACATTCACTAGTGTTTATTATTTATGTGAATTATGATTTGAGACATTGCACGACATGCTAGGTTTCGGAAAACCTATGTTTATCATTATATATAAGTGTTTTCATAAAACCTGGGGGTTAGTATGTTGATAACTGTTTTATTATATATATATATCAACTTGGTCCACTCATGTTTGTTTTGCGCCCCCTTCAGGACTTAGAATCGAGGCATACAATCCCGACGTCCAGGCACTTCCGCATCGGCATCTTCGAGTCCTCTCGGTGTAGGACCCATTCCTTCGTTTCATTCAATTTTATATTATGTTCTTTTAGTGTTCTAGATTAGTGGTGTGCTCTGAACACGGTCCTTATTTGCATATTCATTATTCTTTTATATTTATAAACCTTATTTATCCTTTATTTTCAGCATTTGCATTTAATAAATGGCTTTCGTCACCCTCGGGTGTCGGCCAGCACGTGCCTATCCTGGTATTCGGGAAATATCGGGGTCGGGGCGTGTCAAAAACAAATCTTTCTATCGCGTTCTATGACGACTACAACCAAGGAGTATTAAATGGGCTTGAAATCTTCAAACTGAATGACTCAAATGGAAATCTCGGGGGACCCAACCCTGATCCACCGAAGCTGCTGGTGGGGTCGACAGGTATGAATTCTCCTCATTTGCTTGGCATAGTTGCTGGTATAGTTTCCGGCATACTTGTGCTGATCTCTGTCCTCGGATTCTTCATCTTCATACGGCGATGGAAAGCCAAGTCATCTGCCAAGTCAACAAAGACCCACAAATCAACTTTACCCCATTATATGTGTCCTTACTTTTCACTTGCAAAGATCAAAGCCGCCACCCAAAACTTCAACGAGTCCCTCATTATTGGAGTTGGAGGCTTCGGAAACGTGTACAAAGGATGCATTGGTGGTGGTGAGGCCACCGTCGTTGCAATCAAACGACTGAAACCGGAATCATCACAAGGGGAACACGAGTTCAAGACAGAAATCGAGTTGCTCTCACAATTCCGCCACCGTCATTTGGTGTCTCTGATTGGATATTGTACTGATGAAGATGAGATGATTTTGGTATACGATTACATGAAACGAGGGACTCTCGCTGACCATCTCTACCACAACAACAGAGACAACCCACCTCTCCCCTGGGAACAACATCTTCAAATTTGTATTGGCGCCGCGCGAGGGTTGCACTACCTTCACAGTGGTACCAAGGGCACAATCATCCACCGCGATGTGAAGAGCACAAACATTTTATTGGATGAAAAATGGGTGGCCAAGGTTTCAGATTTCGGCCTGTCGAAAATGGGAATCACCACTGCGTCCAAGACCCACGTTAGTACCATTGTCAAAGGCAGTTTCGGGTATTTGGACCCGGAATACTATCGATATCAACGACTCACTGAGAAGTCTGACGTGTACTCATTCGGCGTAGTGTTGTGGGAAGTATTATGTGCAAGGCCAGCTGTGGTTCATACGGCGGAGCCAAGGCAAATGAACTTGGCTGAGTGGGCAAAGAATTGCCATCGCAATGGGGAACTTGATCAAATCATTGACCCAAGCATGAGGGGTAAGATCGAAATTGAGAGTTTGAACAAATTCGTTGAAATTGCCATGAGCTGCATCAGTGATAGAGGGATCGAACGGCCGCCAATGAATGACGTTGTGAGGGGGCTTGAATTTGCACTGCAGCTTCATCAAAAGAACATTGGTACTGAGGGTTACAATGAGGTTACAGACCCATGTTGTGTTGCATATGAATCCATTCAGTGTATATCCGCGACAATCTTCTCGGAGATCGATGACCCGAATGGAAGATGATGAGCGTTGGCAACAAGCGAAGGCATAATATCAATGGGATTGTAATATATGCTCTGTCAGTTTTAAATCAAATGTATTTGAACCCAATTGAATGCAAATTTATACGCAGTGACTCACTTGCAATTGCATTATTAATCACTGTAATCAATACTAAATACACTGTTCTAAGCACTGAGCTCGTCGGCTGGCCGCCACCTCGATTATTCCCTAAGTGTTTAAAAAATAAGAAAGCGTGTTTAGATCTCTTTAGGTGTCCGCCTAGCCCACCTAGATGTTCCTTAGCCTACTTAGGCACCTGCCTAGATCGCGACTCTCACTTAGACATAAAATCAATAAATTTCATTTTGGATTTTATTTTTGTTCAATAAATTATAAGAAAATTGTTGAATACTTGAATAAACACTCTATTATGCTTGTTATCCATATTTCAATATGTTATAATACTTTTATTTATATGTCATTTTATTTTGTGATATAATATAAAAATATAATTATATATTTTTGTAAGTATTAATAAACACTTATTTATACGATATATAATAAATTTACTTAAATTCGTCTAGTCTTTCTAAGCTCCCGCCTGACCTTCTAGGCGCTAGACCCCAATCCACCACCCGACTAGGCCTAGTGTCTTTTACAACCTTACTAAATAGTCCATAGCAGAAAGATTAATTTGGACTTTGGATAAAATTAAATTCCTTGTTAAGTAATTTTAACATGTGAAAGAAAGAAGCAGGCATGAAAATGTGAGGAAGATAAACTAAAATAAATAACTCAAGTCCCTATCTCAGCATCAAGAACGCAGGTCAAGTCTTCGATCGGTATCATCTTCCTGTGCGAAGAAGATATACATCGATTGGACGGAAGAGTTGTTTCAAGTGAAAACCTTGCATAATATATGCTATAAAAACAAGGATGCTTTTAGAGATTTTTCATTCTACCCCTATCGTTCGTGCATTTCGATTTTAGCAACCATAGTTTGAAATTTTTTCTATTTTAGTCAATTTCCTTCTTTTTTTGTTTTTTTTTTAAATAAACAGTACCTATAGTTATTTTTTTCATTTCAACAAACAATTAATTTTAGGTAGATGTCAACTTCAGCGAGCAACTTCATCATTATTCATGTTGATTATTGGGCGTCTCAATGGTGTGAGAGGCTAGAGGCTAAAAAATCTTACATGATTCATTTTCAGTGGCTACCGATATTATCTTAAATTGTGCTCTTAAGAAGTTATGGGCAAGACCTGGGGCTAATTTGACCTCACAAGTCATAAGGAGTCTTGGCCTCACAAACTTCATCATTATTCATGTTGATTATTCATCATTCCAGACTTATCTCCATCACACTCTCTCTATATCAAATAATAAGAGGAAGATATACATCCAATATGAGTGACAGGAAAAAGAATGGAACCTGCTATAGTCATTCGTTTAAACAAATCAAAAGAAAAATTTCCGTCAAAGGTGATCGATATCGATACATCCATCGATATTTTTATAAATTTACATATTAATATTTCTACGTATATTATATTTTAAATACCGATAAAAGTACATGCACAAAGATTTGACGAAATGACTTATGCACATCTTTTTTTCTTTCTTACACACATTTTTTTTTCTAGTCATTCGTTTCGACAAATCAAAAGAAAAATTAATGGCAATAAGTAAGAGAAAGTGTGCAAAAGTAAAAAATAATATGCAGAAATCACTTTCGAATCCCAATTGAATTGCATGCATGCCAAGGACTTAATTGATAATTCGTCAAGCCCACCGCCTACGCAAGAAAGAATGTTGATCCGGGAATCTTTCCTTTTGGAGCAGAAGCAGCCGAAACTTGACTTGAAAAGTCTGATAAACTTAAATCTCAAGAACTTGCAATGAGGGACACACAAACTACCACACATGACATATCCATAAACAAGAGCTAAAGTGTACACATGCATACAAATAAACACCTTTATAGAATTTACCATGACGAAACCAATTTTCATCTCTCATCAGTACATTTCCCTGTTTCTGCACTTGATCATTGCCACCACATTCGTTGCCGGCAATCCGCCACCTATCTACACTTCGGCAGAAGATATCACTGTTAAAGGTGGCTATTCTGACCAATTATTTAATCAAAACTTATTATATTAACACTTCACATATTGTTATATAAAACCTAAATATTTATTGCACTCTACATTTACGTTTTCAATTAAAAATTTTCTTAATACACCCAACATATTTCCTCATAATACCCTCTCACCCCACATTTCATCTTATATTTTCTACCTACACCCCACATTCTTCACATCTTCTAATACTCAGGCACAATCAAGATCAGAGGAAGATGGGGCTGCTGAGACTCTGTCGAAGGTGGCAGAGAAGGTAAATAAGCTGAGGTTTAATGACAAGAATTCGAAGAGTAAAAGCAGTAAGGGAAAGGAGAACAATCAGAGGTGTCTTGTAATGTAAATGGTACTAGGGCTCTGCCCAGATTGGCAAAACGTGGCTGAATGTTGATGTAGTTTCTTTACATTTTCAGATGTATGAAAAAAAAAAAAAACATCTTTATTTATTGGTGTTGAATTGCTGAACGGAAGTTATGTTTGGCCATTTTATTACTATTCTCACTTCGTTAAATTGGGGTTATGTCATGTGATGACATGTCACCAGTTAATAGATAAATTGATAAAAAAATTTGTGAAAGTTGGCATTGCAACGAATTGATAACTTGATTTATAATCTTTTTTTTTAAAGAACAACGAGTGGCAAGTCACGATTATCCACTCTTTCAAGGGTCAGAAAGTGATATATAACATTTCAATGATTAAAAAAAATGAGATAATGCATAACAATGATACAAAATTGAAGTAGTAAAATATAATTTATTCATAATATAATATAGATAGAACTTTCTAGCTCACTTACTCCACCGACTTAATGTGCTATAATTAGCTACCGTATGCATGAATCTTTCTTTGTGCTTTCATCATGGGCTGGACCTATACCAACAATACATCGAGTGCGTGGAGGAAAAAGTAAGGAAACTGATCCCGATCATTCTTCACACGCAGACTTGGGGTAGGCTTGTTATTAAGCAAGACATAAAAGTGGTCATTTACAGACAAGCATTGCGATAGGCAAGACATAAAAGCGGTCATTTACAAACAAACATTGCGATAGGCAGTGTAAACGGCTTCGTCAAGAGACTCCAAATTCCAGTGAGAAAATGAGTTAAACAGGCAACACCTCACCCTTTCTATGTTTTTCTTACAATCATGAACAACCCCATCAGCAAACTCCCTAATAAAACTCACTCCTATTCTCATTCCCTTTTTTCTTCGCATGATAACCATACACATGGCCGGGGACTCGCCGCCAATCTATGTTCTGTCTGATCGAATCACCCTTCAATGTGGCTCTTCTGATCTCGGAATCGACTAACACTCCTGATATTGGGCTGGAGATATCGATTGAAAATTTCTTCCATTCGAGCACCAAGTGGCTGGTAACAAATCCATATTCAAAGAAGCACCTTCTCCCTCTTCTTTCGGCCAAGTGCCTTACAGCACAGCTAGGCTTTCCCGCTTTGAATTTACCTACACATTTCCACTCTCTTCCGGCCCAAAGTTCTGTTAGAAATATATTCTCATTAAATGAAACTGGGTTACATTGGATGTATTTATACACAGTAACTAATAACATTAGTTAACTACTAATGTAACTAATTAAGCTTAATCTATGAATTAGTTACAATAGAAAACTTAAGGACTAAGCAATGGACTTTAGCACTGTTGGCTGTTGGGTTGACTGAGAAGAATAATGTGTGTCTTTACACCCCCTCAAGCTGAACGGAGGGGAACCAAGTGAAAGCTTGGAGCGAAGAAACTGAAATCGACCCTTGGACAGGGACTTGGTGTGAATATCTGCAATTTGATGGAGACTAGGAACAAACTGAACTTTCAGTAGAGAAGCTAAAACCAGTTCCCGAATATAATGGTAGTCGATTTCGACATGCTTTGTTCGAGCATGAAAAACTGGATTGGAAGCAAGAGAAATCGCAGAAACATTATCACACCAAAGAAGAGGAACCCGGGACAGAGGAAAACCAATATCCTTGAAAATTTTGCAAATCCAGGTGATCTCAGCAGAAGTGTGAGCCAAAGAACGGTATTCAGCTTCAGTGGAGGAGCGAGCAACTGTGGGCTGCTTCTTGGCACACCAACTGATTAAGTTGCAACCAAGATACACACAGTAACCACTGGTAGAGCGGCGATCAAATACACAGCCAGCCCAATCAGCATCTGAGAAGGCAGTAAGAGTGAGAGAGCCTTTTTTGAACCAGATGCCATCATTCACAGTGCCTTTAAGAAAACGTAAGACACGTTTGACAGATTGAAAGTGTGTATCTCTCGGACAATGGAGAAATTGACAGAGTTGATTGACAGCAAAAGAGAGATCAGGACGGGTCCAGGTCAAATACTGTAATGCCCCAACAATAGACCTATATTCATGGGGATTAGAGAGAAGTGTACCACTGTGGTCTAACTTCTGAGTACCAAGAGGAGTGGAACAGGGTTTGCTGCCATCCATGTTAGTCTTGAGAAGAAGATCCATGGCATACTTATGTTGACTGAGAAAGATGCCAGCAAAGGTGCGATGAACTTCTAACCCCAAGAAGTAGTGCAACGGACCTAAATCTTTGACAGGAAAGAGCTGACTGAGCTTGTGAATAAAAGCATTGCAGGCATGAGCACTAGGTCCATTAACTAGTATATCATCAACATATACGAGGACAATGACAAGAGAGGGCTTGAAATTCACAAACAGTGAGCAATCAGATTGAGAGTTCTGGAACCCCAGAGACAGCAAAGTTTGAAACAATTTATCATACCAAGCCCGTGGGGCTTGCTTAAGACCATACAAGGACTTAGAAAGCTTGCAGACATGAGATGGCAGGGAAGGATCAACGAATCCAGGGGGTTGTTGCATAAACACCTCCTCCTTGAGCGTCCCATGTAAGAAAGCATTGCTTATATCCAACTCGTTTAAAAACCAATCAAAATGTACTGCCAATGTCAAGAGAATACGAATGGTGACAGGTTTGGCAACCGGGCTAAATGTTTCCTGGAAGTC